AGCAAAAATACAAGAGAGCAATATTGTTAATAACAAAATTTGCAACAACTTTTGTTCTAAAAGTTTTTTGATAACATGCTTCAATTCCCGAATGTTACCATTAACTAATAGTAAAACAAAAAATTCATAAAATTTTTATATTTTCGTATTTTTCTCAATATTGACGAGCCTGAGAGCAAAAATAAAAGAGAGCAATATTGTTAATAACAAAATTTGCAACAACTTTTGTTCTAAAAGTTTTTTGATAACATGCTTCAATTCCCGAATGTTACCATTACCTAATAGTAAAATAAAAAATTCATAAAATTTTTAAATTTTCGTATTTTTCTCGTTATTGACGCATCTGAGAGCAAAAATACAAGAGAGCAATATTGTTAATAACAAAATTTGCAACAACTTTTGTTCTAAAAGTTTTTTCATAACATGCTTCAATTCCCGAGTGATACCATTAACTAATAATAGTAAAATAAAAAATTCATCAAATTTTTATATTTTCGTATTTTTCTCAATATTGACGAATCTGAGAGCAAAAATACAAGAGAGCAATATTGGTAATAACAAAATTTGGATCAACTTTTGTTCTAACAGTTTTTTGATAACATGCTTCAATTCCCGAATGTTACCATTAACTGATAGTAAAACAAAAAATTCATCAAATTTTCATATTTTCGTATTTTTCTCAATATTGACGATTCTGAGAGCAAATGTACAACAGAGCAATATTGTTAAGAACAAAATTTGCTACAACTTTTGTTCTAAAAGTATTTTTGTAACATACTTCGATTCCAGAATATTACCATTAGCTAATAGCAAAACAAGAAAATTCATCAAATTTTTATATTTTTCTTAATATTGACGAATCTGAGAGCAAAAATACAACAGAGCAATATTGTTAATAAGAAAATTTGCAACAACTTTTGTTCTAAAAGTTTTTTGATAACATGCTTGAATTCCCGAATGTTACCATTAACTAATAGTAAAACAAAAAATTCATCAAATTTTTATATTTTTCTCAATATTGACGAATCTGAGAGCAAAAATACAAGAGAGCAATATTGTTAATAACAAACTTTGCAACCATTTTTGTTCTAAAAGTTTTTTGATAACATGCTTCAATTCCCGATTGTTACCATTGACTAATAGTAAAACAAAAAATTCATCAAATTTTTATATTTTCGTATTTTTCTCAATATTGCCGAATCTAAGAGCAAAAATACAAGAGAGCAATATTGTTAATAACAAAATTTGCAACAACATTTGTTCTAAAAGTTTTTTGATAACATGCTTCAATTCCCGAATGTTACCATTATCTAATAGTAAAACAAAAAATTCATCAAATTTTTATATTTTTCTCAATATTGACGAATCTGAGAGCAAAAATACAAGAGAGCAATATTGTTAATAACAAAATTTGCAACAACTTTTGTTCTAAAAGTTTTTTGATAACATGCTTCAATTCCCGAATGTTACCATTACCTAATAGTAAAACAAAAAATTCATCAAATTTTTATATTTTCGTATTTTTCTCAATATTGACGAATCTGACAGCAAAAATACAAGAGAGCAATATTGTTAATAACAAAATTTGCAACAACTTTTGTTCTAAAAGTTTTTTGATAACATGCTACAATTGCCGAATGTTACCATTACCTAATAGTACAACAAAAAATTCATAAAATTTTTTAATTCTCGTATTTTTCTCGTTATTGACGCATCTGAGAGCAAAAATACAAGAGAGCAATATTGTTAATAACAAAATTTGCAACAACTTTTGTTCTAAAAGTTTTTTGATAACATGCTTCAATTCCCGAATGTTACCATTATCTAATAGTAAAACAAAAAATTCATCAAATTTTTATATTTTTCTCAATATTGACGAATCTGAGAGCAAAAATACAAGAGAGCAATATTGTTAATAACAAAATTTGTAACAACTTTTGTTCTAAAAGTTTTTTGATAACATGCTTCAATTCCCGAATGTTACCATTAACTAATAGTAAAACAAAAAATTCATCAAATTTTTATATTTTCGTATTTTTCTTAATATTGACGAATCTGAGAGCAAAAATACAAGAGAGCAATATTGTTAATAACAAAATTTGCAACAACTTTTGTTCTAAAAGTTTTTTGATAACATGCTCCGATTCCCAAATGTTACCATTAGCTAATAGTAAAACAAGGAAATTCATCAAATTTTTAAATTTTCGTATTTTTCTCAATATTGACGCATCTGAGAGCAAAAATACAAGAGAGCAATATTGTTAATAACAAAATTTGCTACAACTTTTGTTTTAAAAGTTTTTTGATAACATGCTCCGATTCCCAAACGTTACCATTAACACTAATAAAACAAAAAATTCGTCAAATTTTCGTATTTTTCTCGATATTGACGAATCTGAGAGCAAAAATACAAGAGAGCAATATTGTTAATAACAAAATTTGCTACAACTTTTGTTTTAAAAGTTTTTTGATAACATGCTCCGATTCCCAAACGTTACCATTAACACTAATAAAACAAAAAATTCGTCAAATTTTCGTATTTTTCTCGATATTGACGTATCTGAGAGCAAATGTATAACAGAGCAATATTGTTAAGAACAAAATTTGCTACAACTTTTGTTCTAAAAGTATTTTTGTAACAACTTCGATTCCCGAATATTACCATTAGCTAATAGAAATCAAGGAAATTCATCAAATTTTTATATTTTTCTTAATATTGACGAATCTGAGAGCAAATATACAAGAGAGCAATATTGTTAAGAATAAGATAAGCAACAACTTTTGTTCTAAAAGTTTTTTTGTAACATGCTCAGATTCCCTAGTGTTACCATCCACGACTTCAAAGAATATCTAATTCGTCAAATTTTCACATTTTCGTATTTTTCTCAATATCTCTAAGTCTGAGAGCAAACGTGCAAAAGAGCAATATTATTAAGCATAAAATTTGCTACAACTTTTGTTCTAAAAGTTTTTTGATAATATGCTCCGATCCCCAAATGTTACCATTAACACTAGTAAAACAAAAAATTCATCAAATTTTCATATTTTCGTATTTTTTTCGAGATTGCCGTATCTGAGAGCAAACATACAAGAGAGCAATATTGTTAAGAATAAAGTTTGCTACAACTTTTGTTATAAAAGTTTTTTGATAACATGCTTCGATTCCCGAATGTTACCATTAGATAATAGTAAAACAAGGAAATTCATGAAATTTTTAAATTTTTGTATTTTTCTAAATATTGACGAATCTGAGAGCAAATATACAAGAGAGTAATATTGGTAAGAATAAAATTTGCTACAACTTTTGTTCTAAAAGTTATTTTGTAACATGCTCCGATTCCCGAATGCTACCCATTGACATGTAGTAAAACAACGAATTCTTCAAATTTTCATATTTTCGTATTTTTTAGGGAGCTTTATTAGGAGCTGGTGCTTCTTTAATAGGACTTGGATCGGATATTGCTGGCTCAATTCGTTTTCCAAGTGCTTATAATGGAGTTTTTGGACATAAACCAACTACAAGTAAAACAATTTTTTTTATTAATTAATTCTTTTTTATTTAATTTATTGTAATTTTAGGAATTGTTTCAATAAAAGGAGGCTTTCCATTTAGTTCCGATAAAAGTTTCTCAGATTACTTAGTATTAGGCCCAATGGCAAGATACGTTCAAGATTTAGCTTTAGTTTATCGAGTTTTAGCCGCTGATAACATAAAAAAATTAAACTTGGATAAAAAGGTTGATTTGAGCACACTCAAAGTGTTTTACATGGTCGATTCGTACTCAAACTTTGGTTATCCAAAAATGGATAAGAACATTCAAAGTGCTATTAAAGAAGCAGCTCAATTTTTAACGAAAAGTTGCCGATCGGAGTTAGATGAAACTAAATTTGATATTTTTGGACACGCCATGGAGCTTAGTGGTGCTTTAATTTTTACTTTGGATGATAATCCGAGTGCGCTTAAAGATTCTGAGGTAAGAATTTATTTTTTTTTTTTCGCTAAATCATTATAATTTTATTTTTAGGTTAAATATAGCCTTCCAATTGAATTAGCGAAATTTTTCTTGGGAAAAACAATATTTAGTGGACAATTATTGTTTTTTACGATGTTGGCAAAAATGCGATTTGGCATAACAGATCAAAAAAAAGATATGTTTATGAAAATTGCTGAGGAGGATAAAAAAATACTTACGGTATTTATTATTTATAAAGTCACCATTGCAAGTATGCAACCAACATCACAGTATTGGTATTACAATACGCGATTTGCGCATGATGCGTATTGTGATATTGGTTGCATACGTTATGATATTCAAACGAGATCTTTATTATATTTTTAGAAAGCCCTTGGTGATAACGGCGTTTTAATTATGCCAAGTTGTGGAAATCCAGCTTTTGAACACACTGGATTCATTAAAGCCATGGTTGATGCGAGATTTAATGGGATTATAAACGTTTTGGGATTCCCATCAACTTGTGTTCCGGCTAGATTAAATAAAGATGGACTTCCTATTGGCATTCAGGTAATTCTTGTTTAAACATTTTTAATAAATATTTCTAATTAATAATTATTTTAGGTTGTGGCAGCACCACATAATGATCATTTAACTTTAGCTGTTGCTGCTGAGTTATCTACTTATTTTGGAGGATGGCAACCACCAAATTAAATTAAACCTTTGTATATAAAATTTTATTTTTTAATAAATAAATTTGCTTTAAAAGTTTTTGGTGTAAGTTGGGTTGCCTATCTTTGCCTAATTAACATTTCCTATTAAATTAACTCGCATTATAACTCGGATGTATAATATAAAAATAATCCGACTACAACAAAGTTTATCGCAGCTTTTTTTTCATTAAATCTAAAATTTGAACAACTAAATTTGTTATAATTATTATTTTAAAAGTTATTTAGAGCGTGATTTCAAAGATGGCGCTAGTGAAATATGTGAGGTTAAGTTTAGTAAGTCAATTAATTGCTATTTAAATTTAATAAAGGTAAGACTCAACTAAATGTATCAAATTGTTTGATTTTATAGTAAGAAAATTAAAATAAGCACTCACCTGGTTGTTTTAGGGAGTTATTCTATGATGAGGTGATGATTTCCAAGGAAGTTTTTATTGAGATGGATTGCATGCTAAAAATTAAAAAGAAATCGCTTTAAAATAAATGTTATATCAATATAATTCAAAATATTGACAATAAGAAATAAAAAGGATAAAGATAAAGGTATGTTTATATAAAACAGAACAAATTATGTGAGGTTAAGTTTGCAATCTGTCAATTTATTGTTATTGTAAATGTCACTTATTTAAACTTAATAATTTCAACTTAATAATTAATAAAACTTAACTAAGTGAGTCAAATTGTTTGATTTTGTAATAAGATAATTAAAATAAAGACTCACCTGGTTATTTTAGGACGTTATTTCAATTATGAGGTGATGATTTTCAAGGAAGCTTTTGTTGGGATGGATTACATGCTAAAAATTAAAAATAAATCGTTCTAAAATAAATATTATATCAATATAACTCAAAACATAGACAATAACAAATAAAGAGGATAAAGATAAAGGTATGTTTAAATAAAACAGAACAAATTGTGTGAGGTTAAGTTTGCAATCTGTCAATTAATTGTCATTGTAAATGTCACTTATTTAAACTTAATACTTTTAACTTAATAACTAATAAAACTTAAGTAAGTGTATCAAATTGTTTGATTTTGTAGTAAGAAAATTAAAATCACCTGGTTGTTTTAGGCAGCCCCAGGGATCTTTGTGGATCTTTGATAGGAGAACTTGGGACTGATTATATGTCGAAATCCCACCGTAAGATGGCATTAGCGTCTATACTGAAATAATTTAATTAAACTAACAATTTTATTATTAATAGTGGGAATGATGAGAGGCAGCAATAACAATTATTGCCAGTATCGTTCTTTTAATTTAAAAAGTATGGATTCCAATTCGTTTTATATTTTTTAATTTGCTGCTAACTTCAACTTTTAAAATTATAAAGTTGAAGTTTGTTCAAAATGACAGATGAAAACGTCATTTTAAAGTGATTTTTCGATAAGAGTATAATAAAGTAATAATGGTATGATTAAATAATTAGATTATAATTGACATTATAGCTTTGTTTCAGCTAACGTTATAAATTGTTGGAAGCTCGTAAAATGCAATCTCACATGTCATATGATGCAGTGATATTCAAATGTACGGCATTATTTGACAGGTGTAATTGCTATAGGTAATTGCATCTGAGGGATTCCCAACAATTCCCAACCAGTCGGAACGTTAATTGAAGAGAATGAAGCTGTTGCTCAACAATTACAGGATTTGTACTTCAACAGCAAAGCTAAAAGTGTTAATCCATCAACATCAACAACGTCGAATATACTTGCCACGCCTAAACGGTCTCTTGCCTCAGTGATGTCATTTCGAAAAGAATATACTCCAAGCGTTCTTACGTCTGACAAATGGGTGCAATATTTTGAACTCAAAGAGAAAGAGAACAAAATTCATGAAGTTGAAAATGGAGAGAAAGAAGAATAGGGTAATGCAGAACTGTTTAGAAAAAGAAGAGGAGGAAGAAGAGTGGAATAGAGACAGAAAATTGATATGTATGAAGTTTATAAGTTTATTTCCGATATGTATGAAGTTACAGCCCTGCAAGAGTGTGTTGCAAAAATTTTGTGCGTGTTGGAAGACGATGAGTTTGAAGTACAATGTCTAAAAAGTTTAGATCAGACTAATAGTAAGACACATTTCAAAGTGTGCCACTACGTAGCTCCAAACACTTTCCAAACAGTTATTCTGTGGTTGGAGCTTTTATATCCTTCTAGTGGTTCGGTTCTTAGCTGAATAATTCCAAAATATCCCCAACTGATGGCGCCATATGCGTTCAATTTTTAGTACGAAGTTTTTGTTTAGAGAGTTGCATTTTTACGAAGCTATTTTCTATGGTTTTAGGGAGTTATTCTAAGATGAGGTGATGATTTCCAAGGAAGTTTTATTGAGTTGGATTACATGCTAAAAATTAAAAATAATTTCTTTTAAAATAAATATATTTGTGAACCCCTACACAAAATAGTTAATAAAAGGACTGATTGGAAAAGTTTCACAATTAAACTCAAGAATTCCATAAACCTTTCTACACCAATAAGAACTGAAGAACAGTCCAGCAAACAGCATGGGAAAATACTTTTGAGATCGAATCTAGAATCAAGGGCAATAATTATCTAAGCGAAATTAAGGAATTGGTAATCAAAAAAAAAGGAAATTAAGAAGAAAGTGGCACCAAACAAGGGCACCAGTGGATAAAACAGCCCTGAACAATGCTACCCAACAATTAAAGAGAGAAATACAGAGCAACAAAGATAATTCAATGGGAAGCTACCTGAGAGAATTAACCAACGACAGTAAAACTGACTACTCTGTGGAAAGTCAGAATGGACTTTTTGAAGTCAGACTTGTGGAAGTCAAATGCAGGGGAAGACTAGAATGAACCACCAAACCACTCCAAAAGAAGTTTTGGAACATTAATCCAAAGCACCTGGATTCTATCAAACCAAAGGAGACATTCTTAAACAGCTCCCAAAGAAAACAATAGTAAAACTGACTTATCTTATTAACGCTACATTTAGATTAAGATATATGTTTCTATGATGTAGAAAATAGCAGGAAAACCACCTAAGGAAGTGTTGCCATACAGGCCTATTTCCTTGTTGCTAGTAATTTCGACATTATTTGAAAAGCTATTTTTTAAAACATTATTAAAACATTAAAATCGACAATAAAGGGAAAGAACCTAATCCATTTCGCATCAGTTCGGGTTCAGAAAAAGTCACTCTACAATAGACCACAAACACAAATGTTATTGAAATGTTTTTAGAGGGAAAAGAACTCTTCTCTGCAATATTCTTAGATGTAGCCCAAGGTTATGATAAAGTCTGACACAAAGGCTTACTTCATAAATTGAATAAAATCTATTTTGCCACAACAGCATTCTCAATTGATAAAATCATATCTTATAGGAATATATTTTAGAATGTTGCAGAAACATACTTTAGGAGCACTAGGTGTTATTAATCAGGTTAAGAAAGAAGGAAGAATACCTAAGCAAAGTAAAAGATATCAAAAGATTCCACATTAGCAAGGAGATTAATGTGTCTGATAATAAACTGAAGGAAGTATGGAAAGTAATAAAAAGAAAAAGTAACAGAACGCAAATCACCTCGAAAGATGGTAACATCGCGGTAGAAGAGTTGATGGTTCTTCAGGCCAATATTTCCTCCAATACATGTCTTACACTACAAGATATCCATTATTTTTTATACAGTGTGTCCGTAAAGTAGCGGATATAGGCGATAAAATCATTATTAACGATTTATTCAAAGATTCCTGAAACGAGTCTAAAGATTTAAATTTGCAATCTTTTAGTGTAGATTTCAAATTTTTTTCTGCCATTTTTAAACGAGTTATAACGTCATCGATATTTTTTTCAAATGACAATCCCCCATTTTTATTACGGAATATGAAAGAAGATTTTTTTTGGAAAAAGTAGAAACTTTTTATGAGAAATACTAAAATATTTAATTTAATTCAAAAAGTAAACATGTTTCGAAACTATTGTTTCATCTTCAGTACTTAAATTAATTTGGAAAAAATGTTTTAAGGTTCGTAGGGATTAAGTATAAGTTTAAGCTTTTCTTCTTAAATACAAAATAAATTAAAATTTACAAAAAAACAAAAAATTAAAGTACATTATTTTCCAAAATATTTTAAGGATTTGTTTCAGTCTTCGTCATCGTTGCAAAAACTACGATTCATTGCTCGTGAATGACGTTTACTTTATGGGGTTTAAAATTTTGTGAACCGCTGATTTACTAATGTCCAAATTTGACCCAATACTCCTTACAGTAACATGAGGGTTTTCTTGCCCAGCCAAACCACGTTTTGTAGAACCTCCCCTGAAACATTTGGTAGGCCAGACTTGATAGAGAAATGCCCATGCTTTTTAAATTTAGTCACAGTTACCACCATTACTTTGGCTAATGAGTTGGCGATCAGGATATGTTGTATTAAAGAGGTCTAGATATTAAAGAGACACTTAGGAAATTGTTTAAAATAATTGGTTACTATAGTTACTCATGCTTACTGCTATTTTTATCAAATTTTTGTCACATTCCTCATTTGATAGTCAATATTTTCTAAAGTCAGTGGAAGTAAGTAAAGTTTTATATACCATCTTATAGCTAATGCTTCAGGTTACAAAATAAAAACAGAATTGTAATGATTCATTATGAACCGTGCAAGAAAAATCAAACAGAAATGTGAATATGTGATGTTAATTTTTTAAATTTAAGAACTAAAGCTTAGTGAGCTAAATAAACGTAGTTATATATACTAACTGTATTATAAATACAGTTAAAGGTATGGACTATCACTATATAAACTCAGTATATGTATATTCAATACACATTGCATACAACCGTACAATATAATCAACAATATAACAATGTTAAGACCAGATAAATTCTTAATTAAACATTCTAATAAAAAAAATCCTATATTATATGCCAGTCATACAGTAAGCCAAATACCGCATGATTATACCACAAAGAATTAAAAATTTCTGTATTTTGTCCTCCTAAATTTGAGAAATTGACCACCGTGCGTCATACTGGCAAAACCACACGGTAATTTTTTTAAATTGTTTTACTTTTATCCATAGATTCAGATTTTGCAATCAAAAACATAGGGTGCCATTTAAAAAATTGATCGTGACCTTCATATGACCTTGAAAATAAGATCAAAGTCACAAAATGTTATCGTCATATAGTTTCCCCCTTCGCATAGAACAACTTTCATTTGGTTCATTTTTATGTAAAATGAACCGTTTTCGAGATAATCGCTTGTCTCACGTTAAATGGACCACCCTGTATATTATTTTTATTTATTTCGATCATCTACCTCTTCACCGCCCCCGTCAACGCCGCCCCGTCACAATTCTAATTAATTTTTTTTTAAGTTACCAGATCTAGTTACTTTTCCAATACCACCATATTTTTTTCCCCCCAAGTTAAGGTTGGCAAAGCTCCCTATACTTATAACATTGGAGGTGACGTCACAGGGGGATTCCGCTGTAAAACTCTCATTATTATACTACTAAGGTTGAAGAGGAGGGCTAAACCCTCCGAGCTAGTGTAGTGAAATGAGTGAAAAGCAGTGTAGTTGTGTTACATGTTAAAACTCATTTTAAAGGATTTTTTATGAAGTTGACACATATGTCAAAATTAAAAGTTGAAAGTTCGAAGTTTTTGGCTTTTTGAGATAAATGCATCATGTTTGGATTCATTTTAAAGGATTTTTTAATAAAGAATACATCATGAAAGGACACCGTGAAGTTGTCCATTTGTCTATTATATGATAACTAACTTCAGATTTAAAATGTCAACCTCAATTTTGACATGTTTATAATCTTTATTAAAAATCCTTTAAAATGAATACAAACACGACATATTTATCTTCAATTTTAATGAAGTGATGATCAACTTCCGGTTAAGAATGTCAATTTTGACATATTTGTAATCGTCGTGAAAAATCCTTTAAAATGAGTCCAAACATGATACGTTTAATTAAAATATTACTCGAGATATAAGCAACTTCCGGTTTTAAATGTCAATGTCATTTTGACATATTCTTAATTTTTATAAAATGTCTTAATATTTGTCACAAAAACAAAAATATAATTAAACAAAATCAAAAATTAAGGTTGGTATTAATATTTAAAAATTAAATTGCTATCTTCATTGTTGCTAACTTCTGGTTTGATGTTTTTTATTTTAACTTTTTTGTTTCTTGAGATAAGTGCGTCATCTTTGGACTCATTTTAAACGTTTCTTAATGAAGATGACAAATATGTCAAAATTGACGTTGACGTTTCAAACCGGAAGTGTTTGTATCTCCATTAGTATCAAAGTTAAATATGTCGAGTTTGGACTCATTTTAAAGGATTTTTTATGAAGTTGACAAATATGTCAAAATTAAAAGTTGAAAGTTCGAACTTTTTGGTTTTTTGAGTCCATCATGTTTGGATTCATTTTAAAGGTTTTTTGAATAAAGAGTACGTCATGAAAGAACACCGTGAAGTTGTCCATTTGTCTATTATATGATAACTAACTTCAGGTTTAAAATGTCAACCTCAATTTTGACATATTTATAACCTTCATTAAAAATCCTTTAAAATGAGTACAAACACGATATATTTATCTTCAATATTAATGAAGTGATGATCAACTTCCGGTTAAGAATGTCAATTTTGACATATTTGTAATCGTCGTGAAAAATCCTTTAAAATGAGTCCAAACATGATACGTTTAATTAAAATATTACTCGAGATGTAAGCAACTTCCGGTTTGAAATGTCAATGTCATTTTGACATATTCTTAATTTTTATAAAATGTCTTCATATATGTCACAAAAACAAAAATATAATAAAAAATAAAAAATTAAGGTTGGTATCATTTTAAAGGTTTTTTAACGAAGATGAGAAATATGTCAAAATTGACGTTGACGTTTCAAACCGGAAGTGATTGTATTTCCGTTAATATTAAAGTTAAATATGTCGAGTTTAGACTCATTTTAAAGGATTTTTAATGAAGATTAAAAATATGTCAAAATTGAGGCCACAAGGGGATTTGGGGGATTAACTTCCGCTGCAGATCTCTCATTATTATACTACTAAGGTAGAAGAGGAGGACTAAACCCATCGAGCTAGTGTAGTGAAGTGAGTAAAAAGCAGAGTTACATGTTAAAATTAATGTAGCTCAATTATCAAAACTTTGATCAGAACACGTAGTAATTTAAAATAGAATCAAATTATTCATTGATCGATTATAATGTTATATAAATTATTAAAATAAATTAAATTAAAACAAAGACTCACCTGGTTATTTTAGGGCGTTATTTCAATGAAATGATGATTGCTAAAAAAAGAAAAATAAATCGATTTAAAATAAATATTATATAAATAAAATTGACAATAACAGATAACGACCATAATAAAGCAAACAATTTATTCTTTATCGGATATAAATATTTTATAACTGAAAAGGTTATCATCGTTTTCAGAGCAGATGTGTGTTACAAACGTGCTGTTTTCGCGATAATGTGGTAAACAAAGCTTTTTACACACTAAAATGATACTAAAAAGACTTGGATAATTTTAAATAAATTTATCTTTATCATTCACGTGCCATCGGTTTATTTCTAAATCTAAAAAAAAATGTAAATCTAAATGATAGAATAAGAAAACAAATAAGTACAATAATAAAACGTCGATAAACGTCAGCAAGTAATCTTAGTTATTTTGTTTTATCTTTTCAGTTTGTTATCGAATCGGCAAAATCGTAGTAAAAATAATAAAACCTCGAGTTCTTGTTTACAAAATTATCTTTTCCGTTCCGTTAAATGCGTCATAAGAGTTTTTAACGATAAAGTTCAAAGACTTTTTTTAGTAATTTAAGAAAAATAGAAAGATTTATTTATTAATAAACATTTCCAAACTATTCGATAAATAATTTACTTCCTTCAATATTTATGTTTTTTCTTTCTGCACGAGGTTGTTTATCTTCTTGGCCTTGCCTATATAATCCGGAGGAACATGTATCTAACATTTACATCTTTCCTAAAGTTAACTGACTCATCACTAAATTTAAAATAAATTTAAAAATGATGGACATTAATTTTGATCCATACATTTGGGCTAAATGGCATAGTTTTGCAATAAGAACGGGTGGTTTGTTAGCTGTAGCAAGTAGTAAAGTTGCTTTTCCAGTTTTTTGGATATTATCTTGGAGGAAAACTCAAAAAATTCCTCCCATCGACCATGACATCTTTCGAATTAGCGCTAAAAAATTATCTTTAATGATTCGAAATAAAGAAGTAAGTTACAATCTACTTTATTAATTGATTTCTTATTTTTAACGTGTTTAGATTAGTTGTGAAGAAGTTATTACAAGATACATAAATAGAATTATTGAGGTTAATAAAGTTTTAAACGCTGTCGTTGATGAGAGATTTCAAGAAGCTTTGGAAGAAGCAAGAATTATTGATGAGTGGCTCAATACGAATGCTTTAAATGTGGAGGAAATCGAAAAAAGATTTCCGCTACTTGGAATTCCTGTTACTGTTAAAGAAGCTTGTAAAGTTAAAGGTTAATATTAAAATTACAGTAAAACCTCGATGACCTTAAAAATGCTTGGTTGATTTGGGATATCATTAAAAAGCTTCTAGAGATTTTTAGACGTATTCAAAAATCTTCTGGCAATCTTTATAATTGTCTAGAAGGCATTTAGACACTTTTTCATAATTATGGAAATCATTAAAAAGCTTCTGGACACTATTGGACATCTTAAAAAATCTTCTCGAAGTCTTTATAAATGTCTATAAATAATTAGGGAACACTGCAGAAACGTCTGGTTGACTTAGGATATCATTAGAGAGTATCTAGACACTTTTTGTTGTCTTCAAAAATCTTCTAGATAATTTTATAACTGTCCAGATAGCATTTGGACACTTTTTGATAATTATAGCAATCATTGGAAAGCTTTTGTTTACTTTTAGACATCTTTAGAAACCCTCGAAAGTGTTGATAAATGTCCAGAATAGGTTCAGACAGCTTTTAATGATTATGAAAATCATTGGAAAGCTTCTAAACACTTTCGGATATCTTTTTAAATCTTCTGGAAATATTTAAAACTGTCTAGAAAGACACTTAGACACTTTTGATAATTACAGAAATCATTGGAAAACTTCTGGTTACTTTTTGACATCTTCAGAAGCCGTCTGGAAGTGTTCATAAATGTCCAGAAAGCATACAGACAGCTTTTGATGAATATGGAAATAATTAGAAACCTTTTAGTAACATAATGACGTCTTCAAAAATCGCATGGAAATATTTATAAATGATTAGGAGGCGTTTACATACTTTTATATAATTATGGATATCATTAAAAAGCTTGTAGACACGTTTGATCATTTTTATAAATCTTCTGGCAATCTTCATAGTTGCCTTTTAAACGTTTTGGAAGCGTTTAAACGCTTTTTGACGATTATAAAAATCATTAAGAAGCATCTAGACATCTTTAAAAATCTTTTGGCAACCTTTATAGTTGCCCAAAAAGCGATTAAACGCCTTTGGGTAATTATAGAGATCATTAGAATGATTCTGAACACTTTTGGACATCTTTAAAAATATTTAGGAAGTCTTTATAAATGTCCAGGAAGACTTTAGAGAATTTTTATTAATTATGGAACAACTTAGGAATGCATGGCTAACTTAGAATATTATTAGAAACCTTCTAGAGACTTTTTGGCATCTTTAAAAATCTTCTGGAAGTCCCTATAATTACCTAAAACGCGTTTGAACACTTTTTATCGACTTTAAAAAGCAATAGAAAACTTTTAAACACTCCTGGAGGTCTTTATAGTTACTTAAAAAGTGTTTAGAGATATTTTGACAATTATAAAAACCAATAGAAACATTCTAGATACTTCTGGGCATCTTTAAAAGTCTTCCTTAAGTTTTTATAATGACCTAAGAAGCGTTTAAAGACTTTTTAACGTCTATAAGAATCAATAGAATCCTTCCAGACGCTTCTGGACATCTTTAAAAATCTTCTAGAAGTCTTTATAATTACCTAAAAAGCGTTTAGAGACTTTTTGACGACTATAATAATCAATACAAAGCTTCTAGACATTTTTGGACATCTTTAAAAATCTTCTGGCACTCTTTATAATTGTCCAGAAGGTATTTGGGCACTTTTTGATAATTATGGAAATCATTAAAAAGCTGCTCGGCACTTTTGAACATCTGTAGCAACCTTCTAGAAATCTTTATAGCTATCTGCAGAGGGTTTAGACGCATTTTAATAATTATAGAAATCATCAAAAAGATTCTGAATGTCTTTGTAATTACCTAAAATGCGTTTGAACACTTTTTAACGACTTTAAAAAGCAATAGAAAGCTTCTAGATACTTTTGGACATCTTTAAAAATCTTCTGGATATCGTTATAACTACTTAAAAAGCGTTTGGACACTTTTTGACGACTATAAAAATCAATAGTACGCTTCTAGACACTTCCGGACATTTTCAAAAATCTTCTGGGATTGTTCATGATTGTCTAGAAAGCGTTTAGAGCGATTTTGATGGCTATCGAAATCATTAAATAGATTCTGGATCCCTTCTGACGTGTTCAAAAATCATCTGGAAATCTTTATAATTGTCCAGAAAGTATTTGGACACTTTTTGATAATTATGGAAATCATTAAAAAGCTGCTGGGCACTTTTGGACATCTGTAACAACCTTCTGGAAATCTTTATAGCTATCTAGAGAGCGTTTAGACGCATTTTGATAATTATAGAAGTCATTAAAGAGATTCTGGACATTTTTTGATATATTTAAAAATCTTCTGGAAGTCTTTCTAATTACCTAAAAAGCGTTTGAACACTTTTTAACGACGTTATTTAAAAAGCAAAAGAGAGCTTCTAGATACTTCCAGACATCTTTAAAAATCTTCTGGAAGTCTTTATAATTACGTTTAGACACTTTTTGACGACAATAAAACTCAATAGTAAGCTTCTACACACTTCTGGACATCTTTAAAAACCTTCTGGCAATCTTTATATCTGTCCAGAAAGTATTTGGATACTTTTCGATAGTCATAAAAATCATTGGAAAGTTTCTAAATACTTTTTGATATTTTCAAAATCTTTCTGGGAGTGTTCATAATTGTCTAGAAAGCGTTTAGAGAGTTTTTGATGGCTGTCGAAATCATTAAATAGCTTCTGGTTGCTTTTTGATGTCTTCAAAAATCGCCTGGAAATCTTTATAATTGTCCAGAAAGTATTTGGACGCTTTTTGATAATTATGGAAATCATTAAAAAGCTGTTGGACACTTTTGGACATTTGTAACAACCTTTTTGAAATCTTTATAGCTATCTAGAGAGCGCTTAGCCGCTTTTTGATAATTATAGAAATCATTAAAAAGATTCTGGACACTTTTTGACATATTTAAAAATCTTCTGGAAGTCTTTATAATTACCTAAAAAGCGTTTGAATACTTTGTAGCGATTCTAAAAGGCAATAAAAAGCTTCTAGATACTTCCGGATATTTACAAAAATCTTCTGGCAATCTTTATAACTGTTCAGAAAGTATTTGGTTACTTTTTGATAATTATGGAAATCATTAAAAAGCTGCTGGGCACTTTTGGACATCTGTAAAAACCTTTTGGCAATCTTTATAACTGTTTAGAGAGCGTTTAGACGCTTTTTGATAATTACAGAAATCATTAAAAAGATTCTGGACACTTTTTGACATGTTTAAAAATCTTCTGGAAGTCAATAGAAATCTTTTGAACATCTTTATAACTGTCCAGAAAGTCCAAAAAGCATTTAGACATTTTTTAATAATTATGGAAATCATTAAAATGTTTCTGGCAATCTTTATAGCTGCCCAGAAAGCATTTAGACATATTAATCCGTTACATCGAGGTTTAACCGTAATAACTTCTTAATTAAAAAACAAATCAAACCCATTTTCTTTTAGGAATGATATTTTCAGTTGGGATAAGAACCAGAGAAGGAATGATTGCAGATTCGGATGGAGAAGCAGTAAGAAGATTAAGATCATCGGGAGCAATCCCGCTTTTAGTTTCGAATACACCAGAAACATGTTTCGGGATGGAATGCGATAATTTAATATCAGGAGTTTGTAGCAACCCATACAACACTAATTATACATGTGGTGGTTCTTCCGGTGGAGAGGTAAATCAAAAAAATTTTCCAAAATAAAATTTTAACCCTTTTAATTTAATTTAGGGTGCTTTACTCGGCGCGGGGTGTTCATTAATCGGGTTAGGTTCCGATGTGGGTGGGTCAATAAGAATCCCATCATTATTTAATGGAATTTTCGGCCATAAACCAACATCAGCCTTAGTTCCAATTCAAGGTCATCACCCTTTAGTTGAAGATGAAAAATTCTCGAGATATTTAGTTCTTGGCCCAATGGCGAGATACGCAGAAGATCTGCGTTTGATGTTATCAATTTTAGCTAAAGAAGATATTAACGTCAGCGAAAAAGTTAAAATGACAGATATCACCGTTTTTTATCTAGAAGATATGAACGTTAATTTTGTTAATCCAGTCGATAAGTGTATCAGGAAAGCTTTGTTGAAATGCGTCGAACATTTAGGTGGAAGATGTCAGGCGAAAATCAGCGATACAAAGTTTTTGGAACTTTCGGAAACTTTAGATTTGAGTGTTATGTGCTTTGGTGATGTTGGAAATAAACCCGATTTATTGGTTGATCAAAATGATCCAAGTATACGATACAATTTCTTTTCTGAAGTTTTCAAGTTTTTCTTGAACAAATCAAAATTGAACTACAACAGCTTATTGTATAACATTTTCCACACGATTCAAGAATTATTATTTACACAAAACACCACCTATTTCCAACAAAAAGTTGATGAATTCAAAACGAAATTCACTGTAAGTAAATTCTCCTTTAATTAAACCCAATTAAAAAATGCTTTTTTAGAACACTTTGGGTGATAACGGAGTATTTTTGTATCCAACTCTTCACACTTCCGCTTTCCAACACAAAGCGACGATGTTCAACGTAACCGGATTAGCTTATACGATGGCTTTTAACATTTTTGGCTTTCCATCGACTCACGTTCCTTTGGGTTTGAATGAAAAAGGACTCCCAATTGGGATTCAGGTGAATTAATTAACAAAAAATGATTTAATAAATTGAAACGTCATTTAAATATTGCAGGTTGTTGCCAACCCAAATAGGGACGCTGTTTGTTTATCGGTTGCTGAAGAATTAGAACGAAGATTTGGGGGGTGGATACCCCCACCGTCATAAATCCTAATTAAAATCGAATTAAATTAATTTTTTAACTTATCATTAAAAAAAGTTTAAAATAAGTGCTAATTATCTAGTTAAACGAAGTATTTTGTTTGGTTTGAAATAATTAGAAAGATTCTGGACAATTTTTGACAGCTTCAAAAATCTTCTGGAAGACTTTTTAATTACATAAAAAGCGTTTGGACACTTTTTGGCGACTATAAAAATCAATACAAAGATTCTAGACACTTCTGGACATCTTTAAAACTCTTCTAGACGTCTTTATAATTACCTAAAAAGCGTTTAGACACTTTTTGATGGCTATAAAAATCAATAGAAAGCTTTTAAACGCTTCTGGACACATTTAAAAATCTTCTGGGGGTCTTTATAATTACCTAAAAAGCGTTTGGACACTTTTTGATGGCCATAAAAATCAATAGAGAGCTTTTAGACACTTCGGGACATCTTTAGAAATCATCTGGAAGTCTTTATAATTACCTAAGACGCGTTTGGACACTTTTTAATGGCTATAAAAATCAATAGCAAGCTTCTAGACACTTCTGGACATCTTTAAAACTCTTCTGGACGTCTTTATAATTATCTAAAAAGCGTTTAGACAATTTTTGACGACTATACAAATCAATAGAAACCTTCTAGACACTTCTGGACATCTTTAACAATTATATGGTAGTCTTTATAATTATCTAAAAAGCGTTTACACACTTTTTGATGGCTATAAAAAACAATAGCAAGCTTCTAAACATTTCTGGACAGCTTCAAAAATCTTCTGGAAATCTTTATAATTACTTAAAAAAGGTTTGAACACTTTTTAGCGACTTTAAAAATCAATAGAAAGCTTCTAGCCACTTCTGAACATCTTTAAAAATCATCTGGATGTTTTTATAATTATCTAAGAAGCGTTTAGAGACTTTTTGACAACTATAAAAATCAATAGATATCTTTTAGACATCCTTAAAACTCTTTTGGACGTCATTATAATTATCTAAAAAGCGTTTGAATACTTTTTAACGACTACAAAAATCAATAGAAAGCTTCTAGTCACTTCTGGACATCTTTAGAAATCATCTGGAAGTCTTTATAATCACCTAAAAAGCGTTTGGACACTTATGGATGGCTATAAAAATCAATAGAAAGCTTTTAGACACTTTTGGACATCTCTAAAAATCCTCTGGAAGTCTTTATAATTAGTCAATAAGCGTTTGGACACTTTCTGACGACTATAAAAATCAATAGAAACCTTCTAGGCACTTCTGGACATCTTTAAAAATCTTCTGGAAGTCTTTATAATTACATAAGAAGCGTTTAGAGCCATTTTGACAACTATAAAAATCAATAGAAAGCTTCTAGACACTTCTGGACATCTTTAGAAATCCTCTGGTTGTCTTTATAATTATCTAAAAACCGTTTAGAGACTTTTTGACGATCATAAAAATCAATAGAAACATTCTAGACACTTCTAGACATCTTTAAAAATCTTCTGGAAGTCTTTATAATTACCTAAGAAGCGTTTAGAGACTTTTTGACAACTATAAAAATCAATACAAAGCTTCTAGACACTTCTGGATATCTTTAAAAATCTTCTGGTTGTTTTTATGATTACTTAAAAAGTGTTTCGACACTTTTTGACGACTACAAAAATCAATAGAAACCTTCTAGATACTTCTGGAAGTCTTTGTAATTACCTAAAAAGCGTTTGGACACTTTTTGACGACTATAAAAATATATAGAAACCTTCCAGACACTTCTGGTCATCTTTAAAAATCTGCTGGAAGTCTTTATAATTACCTAGAAAGCGTTTGGACACTTTTTAACGACTTTAAAAATCAATAGTAATCTTTTGAACATCTTTATAACTGTCTAAAAAGTATTTGGACACTTTATGATAATTATAAAAATCATTGGAAAGTTTCTGGATGCTTTTTGACATTTTCAAAATCACTCTGGAAGTGTTCATAATTGTCCAGAAAGTGTTTAGAGAGCTTTTAATGGATATGGAAATCATTAGATAGCTTCTGGATCTTTTTGGCCATAATTAAAATCGAATTGAATTAATNAAATCAATACAAAGCTTCTAGACACTTCTGGACATCTTTAAAAACCTTCTGGATGTCTCTATAATTACCTAAGAAGCGTTTGGACACTTTTTAATGGCTATAAAAATCAATAGAAAGCTTCTAGACACTTTTGGACATCTTTAAAAATCTTCTGGAAGTCTTTATAATTACTCAAAAAGTGTTTGTACACTTTTTAACGACTACAAAAGTCAATAAAAAGCTTCTAGACACTTCTGGACATCTTTAAAACTCTTCTGGACATCTTTATAATTATCTAAAAAGCGTTTGGACACTTTTTGGCAACTATACCAATCAATAGAAACCTTCTAGACACTTCTGTACATCTTTAACAATCATATGCTAGTCTTTATAATTACCTAAGAAGCGTTTAGAGACTTTTTGACAACTATGAAAATCAATAGATAGCTTTTAGACATCTTTAAAACTCTTTTGGACGTCTTTATAATTATCTAAAAAGCGTTTGAATACTTTTTAACGACTATAAAAATCAATAGAAAGCTTCTAGACACTTCTGGACATCTCTAATAATTCTCTCGAAGTCTTTATAATTACTCAGTAAGCATTTGGACACTTTCTGACGACTATAAAAATCAATAGAAACCTTCTAGACACTTCTGGACATCTTTAAAAATCTTCTGGAAGTCTTTATAATTACATAAGAAGCGTTTAGAGACTTTTTGACAACTATAAAAATCAATAGAAAGCTTCTAGACACTTCTGGACATCTTTAGAAATCCTCTGGTTGTCTTTATAATTATCTAAAAAGCGTTTAGAGACTTTTTGACGACTATAATAATCAATACAAAGCTTCTAGACACTTTTAGACATATTTAAAAATCTTCTGGAAGTCTTTATAAATACCTAAGAAGCGTTTGAACACTTTTTAACGACTATAAAAATCAATAGAAAGCTTCTAGACACTTCTGGACATCTTTAGAAATCATCTGGAAGTTTTTATAATTACCGAATAAGTGTTTGGACACTTTTTGATGGCTATAAATATCAATAGAAACATTCTAGACACTTCTGGACATCTTTAAAAATCTTCTGAAAGTATTTAGACACTTTTTAATAATTATAAAAATCATTAGAAAGTTTTTGAATACTTCTTGATTATTTCAAAATCTCTCTGGGAGTGTTCATAATTGTCTAGAAAGCGTTTAGACGGCTTTTAATGGCTATGGAAATTATTAAATAGCTTCTGGATCCTTTTTGACGTCTTCAAAAATCGTCTGGAAACCTTTATAATTGTCCAGAAAGTATTTGGACACTTTTTGACAGTTGTGAAAATCATTAGAAAGTTTTTGAATACTGTTTGATATCTTCAAAATCTCTTTGGGAGTGTTCATAATTGCCTAGAAAGCGTTTAGACGGCTTTTGATGGCTATGGAAATCATTAAATAGCTTCTGGATCCTTTTTGACGTTTTCAATAATCGTCTAGAAATCGTTATAATTGTCCAGAAAGTATTTAGACACTTTTTGACAATTATAAGAATCATTACAAAGTTTTTGAATACTTTTTGATATCTTCAAAATCTCTCTGGGAGTATTCATAATTGTCTAGAAAGCGTTTAGAGAGCTTATGATGCTATGGAAATCATTAAATAGCTTCTGGATCCTTTTTGACGTCTCCAAAAATCGTCTGGCAACCTTTATAATTGCCCAGAAAGTATTTGGACACTTTTTGATAATTATGGAAATCATTAAAAAGCTGCTGGGCACTTTTGGACATCTGTAAGAACCTTCTGGTAATCCCTATAACTCTCCAGATAGCGTTTAGACGCTTTTTGATAACGATAGAAATCATTAAAAAGATTTTGCACACTTTTTGACATCGTTAAAAATCTTCTGGAAGTCTTTATAATTACCTAGAAAGCGTTTGGACTCTTTTTCACGACTTTAAAAATCAATAGAAACCTTTTGAACATCTTTATAACTGTCCAGAAAGTATTTGGACACTTTATGATAATTATAAAAATCATTGGAAAGTTTCTGGATATTTTTTGACATTTTCAAAATCACTCTGGAAGTGTTCATAANTCTAAAAAGTATTTGGACACTTTATGATAATTATAAAAATCATTGGAAAGTTTCTGGATGCTTTTTGACATTTTCAAAATCACTCTGGAAGTGTTCATAATTGTCCAGAAAGTGTTTAGAGAGCTTTTAATGGATATGGAAATCATTAGATAGCTTCTGGATCTTTTTGGCCATAATTAAAATCGAATTGAATTAATTGTTTAACTTATCATTAAAAGTTTAGAATAAGTGCTAATTATCTAGTTAAATGAAGTATTTTGTTTGGTTTGATTTATAAATAAAACTGTGATATTTTAAGTTGTTATCGAGGAAATAAATGTTTAACAAATAAACCGATTTGTTTTAAATTGACTCTTTATAATTTTCGATAAGATTGTAAAATAAATAATTTTTGGCAAGTCACTGATTTTCGTTTATGTTTTTAAAGATAAATAAAAAGTACTTGATTTAAAATTTAAAAAAAAATTTGACATTTAAACGTCATTTAAACGTCACTGAAATGTCAGATTTGATTAAGTGAAATTTGACGTTTAAATGTCAAAAAAATTTTATAACCTAAAAATTGAAATTCGAATTCAATTTCCATTCGGACTGTTTTTATATAAATTAATAAATTAATTGTAATAATAAATTATGTTTAATTTAGAAGAATTTTTCAATTTCCTGATAACTTTCTTAAAGAAATTCAATTTCCTCAACCGATAAGAAAAACGATTTTAGGAGACATCTGATCTTATGTCTATTGATATCAAGGACGATATATGATGGGGAAGATGTTCAAAAAGGCTAAGATAGTATTAAAAGGTAACGTCTGATATGCATTATGTTAGAAAAAGTTGAAGACTTTAATGTCCAATAGTGTACAGATGTTTTTTAATGATCTCTGTAGTTATCAAATAGTGTCTAAACGTTTTCTGGACAGTTATAAAAATTGTCAGAAGATTTTTAAAGATGTCCAGAAGCTTTCTAATGATCTTTACAGTTGTCAAAAAGTGTCTAAACGTTTTCTGAGCAATTATAAAGATTTCTAGAAGATTTCTGGAGATGTCAAGAAGTGTCCAGAATCTTTTTAATCATATTCTAAGTTAACCAGGCATTTCTAAGTTATTTCATAATTAAAAAAAATTGTCTAAATACCTCCATGAACATGTAAAGACTACTAGAAGGTTTTTAAAGATATCAAGAAGGGTTCAAAACCTTTTTAATTATCTTTATAATTTATTATCAAAAGGCATCTAAACCCTTTCTGGACAGCTATAAAGATTGCCAGAAGATTTTTAAAGATGTCCAAAAGTGCTCGGAAGCTTTTTAATGATTGCCATAATTATCAAAAGGTGTCTAAATGCTAGTTATAAATATCTCCAGATTTTTAAAGTTTTAGTCCAATAAAAATATACTATAACCTAACGTTATCTAGTGCCACCTAGCGCTACTTAGCACTGTCTCAAAAGACGGCTTTACCCGAATGATTCTAGTTTTAGTGTTAGTTCTACTTCTAGTAATAAATTAGGGAACTTTAAAGATGTTCAAAAGTGTGCAGAAACTTTTTAATTGTCTCTATAATCATCAAATAATGTCTAAACGCTTGCTAGACTGTTATAAAGATTTCCAGAATATTTTTAAAGATGTCCACAAGCTTTCTAATGATTTGTACAGTCGCCAGAAAGTGTCTAAACGCTTTCTGGGCAATCACAAAGATTTCTAGCAGATTTTCAAAGATGTCAAAATGTGTCCAGAATCTTTCTAATGATCTCTATAACTATGAAAAGGTGTCTATACGCTTTCTGGACAGATATAAATAATGTCAGACGATTTTAAAAGATGTCCAACAGTGCCCAGAAGCTTTTTAATGATTATCATAATTTTCAAAATGTATTTAAATGCTATGTGGACAGTTACAAAGATTTTTAGAAGATTTTTAAAGATGTCCATAAGTCATTAGTAACCTTCTAATGATTTTCTAAGTTGTTTCATAATTAACAAAAATTATCTAAACGCTTTCTAGACATTTAAAAACTTCAAGAAAATTTTTGAATATATCATCAAGGGTTGATGATTTTCGGTTCTAATGATTTTCATAAGTATTAAAAAGTAGCTAAATGCTTTCTGGACAAAAATGTTTAAACCCATAAATGGCTGAGATATGGGCTTTCAAAGTTGAGAAATTTTCAAACATTTTCATATATTCAAGTTCTCTCAAAACCATTAAATTAATTTTAAAAAATATTAATTGTCATATTTGACAGAAAATTGACGTAAATTTCTTCATTTCTTAGATTTCCAGAAGATCTTTAAAGATGTCAAAATGTTCTCTTTCTAATGATCTCTATAATTATCAAAAAGCGTCTAAACGCTTTCTGGTCAGCTATAAATATTGCCCGAATGAGTTTTAGTTCTAGTGTTAGTTCTTCTTCTCGTAATAAACTAGGGGACTTTAAAGAAGTCCAAAAGTCCAATGGTCTCCATAATGGACAACCTAAGCCTTGACGTCACAGTGATGGGCGGAGCTTAAACTGACTCCAACCTCCTTTTGGACGGTTAGAAAGATTTTCAGAATATTTTTAAAGATCCACAAGCTTTCTAATGATTTTTATAGTCATCAGAAAATGTCTAAAAGCTTTCTGGATAATTATAAAGATTTTCAAAAGATATTTAAAGATGTCGAAATGTGTTCAGAATATTTCTAATGATCTTTATAATTATCAAAAGGTTAAACGACAGCTATAAATATTTCCAGATGATTTTAAAACATGTCCAAAAATGTCCAGAAGTTTTCCAATGAGTATCATGATTTTCAAAATGTATTTTAATGCTTTCTGGACAGTTATAAAGATATTTAAAGATGTCAAAATGTGTTCAGAATATTTCTAATGATCTCTATAATTATCAAAAGGGTAAACGACAGCTATAAATATTTCTAGATGATTTTAAAACATGTCCAAAAATGTCCAGAAGTTTTCCAATGAGTATCATGATTTTCAAAATGTATTTTAATGCTTTCTGGACAGTTATAATGATTTTTAAAGATGTCAGAAAGTCATTAAAAGCCTTCTATTAATATTCTAAGTTAACTCGAAAATTGCAAAGTTCGAAAAAATTGTCGATTATTTCAAAAATTTATTTCTCAAGAACTAACAGTGATTTTTCAAAACGGCTTTTTGCATTAAAAAGAGGATACTTTAATTAATAATTGGTGATATTTCCACAAAGGTCCTTCAAAAAATCAATTTTATAGCGAATTTTGAAAGTTATCGATGAAAATTGCAACATCGAAAATTTTATCAAAACTTCAAATATTGTTTTCTCAAAAACTAAAAGTTATTTTTCAAAACGGGTTGGTTCATTGGAAAGAGGACACTTTTATTAACACTTTGGGAAATTTTCATACTCATATTCCAAGAAATGGATTTTATACGAATTTTTAAAACTTAATCGGCGAAAATTGCAAAATTCGAAAAAATTGTCGATCATTTCAAAAATTTATTTCTCAAGAACTAAAAGTGATTTTTCAAAACGGCTTTTTGCATTAAAAAGAGGATACTTTAATTAATAATTGGTGATATTTCTACAAAGATCCTTCAAGAAATTAATTTTATAGCGAATGTTGAAAATTATCGATGAAAATTGCAACCTCGAAAATTGTTCAAAACTTCAAACGTTGTTTTCTCAAAAACTAAAAGTTATTTTTCAAAACGGGTTGGTTCATTGGAACGAGGACACTCTTATTAACACTTTGGATAATTTTCATACTCATATTCCAAGAAGTGGATTTTATAAAAATTTTTAAAACTTAACAGACGAAAATTGCAAATTTCGAAAAAATTCTCGATTATTTCAAAAATTTATTTCTCAAGAACTAACAGTGATTTTTCAAAACGGCTTTTAGCATTAAAATGAGGATACTTTAATTAATAATTGGTGATATTTCCACAAGTATCCTTCAAGAAATTAATTTAATAGCGAATTTTGAAAATTATCGATGAAAATTGCAACATCGAAAATTTTTTCAAAACTTCAAATATTGTTTTCTCAAAAACTAAAAGTTATTTTTCAAAACGGGTTGGTTCATTGGAAAGAGGACACTCTTATTAACACTTTGGGGAATTTTCGTACTCATATTCCAAAAAGTGGATTTTATACGAATTTTTAAAACTTAATCGGCGAAAATTGCAAGATTCGTCGATTATTTCAAAAATTTATTTCTCAAAAACTAAAAGCGATTTTTCAAAACGGCTTGTTGCATTAAAAAGGGGATACTTTAATTAATAATTGGTGATATTTCCACAAGGATCCTTCAATAAGTTAATTTTATAGCGAATTTTTAAAATTATCGATGAAAATTGCAACATCGAAAATTTTATCAAAACTTCAAGTATTGTTTTCTCAAAAACTGAAAGTTATTTTTCAAAACGGGTTGGTTCATTGGAAAGAGGACACTCTTATTAACACTTCGGGAAATTTTCGTACTCATATTCCAAGAAGTGGATTTTATACGAATTTTTAAAACTTAATCGGTGAAAAAACTGCAACGAGGGATTTTATTATGAGATTGAACTTGATTATTATCTACAGAGATACTAATTCCTGTACATGGTGGAGTACTAAGTAATAGGTTTTTAATATCAGGCCAAAGCCGGATATTTGGTAACTATCCTAAAAATGGCCGGATATCCGTTCCACCACTACTATACGGGTGTTCACAAAGGTTATTTCTTTAAAACTTTTTTATTCTGTCATAAACCCTTCAATTTTAGAACTGATTCTAAAAGAAATTTTTTATTATAATGTNAAAATTGCAACATCGAAAATTTTATCAAAACTTCAAATATTGTTTTCTCAAAAACTGAAAGTTATTTTTCAAAACGGGTTGGTTCATTGGAAAGAGGACACTTTTATTAACACTTTGGGGAATTTTCGTACTCATATTCCAAAAAGTGGATTTTATACGAATTTTTAAAACTTAATCGGCGAAAAAACTGCAACGATTGAACTTGATTATTATAGATACTAATTCCTGTAAATGGTGGAGTACTAAGTAATAGGTTTTTAATATCAGGCCAAAGCCGGATATTTGGTAGCTATCCTAAAAAATGGCCGGATATCCGTTCCACCACTACTATACGGGTGTTCACAAAGGTTATTTCTTTAAAACTTTTTTATTCTGTCATAAACCCTTCAATTTTAGAACTGATTCTAAAAGAAATTTTTTATTATAATGTATATATTTCAAATTCTCTCAAAACCATTAAATTAATTAATAAAAATATTTGTCATATTTGACATAAAATTGACGTAAATTTCATTCTATTTAACATAAACAAGTTATTTGAATCGATTTGTAACGAATATATAATTTAAAAAGAAAATCTCATTTATCTAAGTAGAGCGAGACAAAACCATCATCGCGATTTGATTAAACAATAATAATCTCATTGTTTCCGAACCCACGCAAAGTTATAATCCGTATTTTGTTCAGAACGCAACGCATTTTCATCGGTAAACTCTTCTTTTTAAAATTCAATGTGAAATCGGGCCCGTCCTTTAAATGGAAAGTGAAAACTTTGTGGTCAGTTTTATTTCGTTCCAATCTAGACAGATGTAAGTAAAATTCTCGTTTATATTACGATTAAATTTAATGGATAAAATAAAATTAAATATAAAAGCAAAAAAATGAGTTATAAAAAAACACTTAAAAACATTTTAAACGCTGCGTTTACATTAATAATTATCAAATTGTAATTTACTGTGATAAATAAATATCGGCAAAATATTATTGTATGTTTTTCTTTATAAGAGTGTTTAAAAATGTTAGATAATTTTTGGTGAACACTATTGCTTTAACGAGTAGTTAACCTTGACAAAAAAAAATATTAAAAATATTGTTCATAGATAGTATTAGCTCGAAAACGTTCCGGTTTTAAAACAGTTCCAAATAAACCGTCAATCGCTCATCATCATAATGAAGTTAATCACCGAACTCGATTTATTTTATAGGAAACAACAACTATGGTTATACTCAGTGAAAATTGGGGCTATTTTCTTTATGGTTTTAGACAAAATCGTAGCCCCAATTTTTTGGGTGTTATCATGGAAAAGAAGCAAGAAAATCCCTCCGGTTGAACATAAAATTTTTGAGATTAGCGCCAAAAATTTAGCAAAAATGATTCGTAAGAAAGAGGTAAAAACAATTAAATTTACTATAGAAGAAGAAATAAAATAATTAATATAAATTATAAATAGATTAATAGTGAAGAAGTTGTCCGCCGATACATAAATAGAATTAATAAAGTTAATCCGATATTAAATGCGGTCGTTCAAGATCGATTCGTTGAAGCAATTCATGAAGCTTGTACCGTTGATGAATGGCTAAGACAAACATCTTTATCTATTGATGAAATCGAAAGAGGATATCCATTATTAGGGGTCCCCATTACCATCAAAGAATCATGCAAAGTAAAAGGTAAAAAATTACTTATTATCCAACAAAATTATTCTACGTCAATTGTATTTTAATCGAACTTGACCTCTTGAACCACAACATCGAATAACCTCTGAACTTATCGAGACAAAAACAGGAAATTAATTTTAAATTTCTATTTTTAACAATTTTAAGGAATGAGTTTTTGCGTTGGAACAAACGTAAGAAAAGGAATGATAGCCGATGAAGATGGGGAAGTTGTGAAAAGGATTAAATCTTCCGGAGCGATTCCTCTACTTGTATCGAATACCCCCGAAATTTGTTTTGGAATAGAATCCGATAATTTCGTTACGGGAAGGTGTAATAATCCGTATAATACTAATTACACTTGTGGAGGATCTTCAGGCGGTGAAGTAAGTCGTTTTTTTTTTATTAAAAATTAAAGAATTTCATTTAAAACGTCAAAACATATCGCATATACGCATTTATCTCAAAAAACAGAAAAGTTCGAACTTTCAACTTTTAATTTTGACATATTTGTCAACTTCATAAAAAATCCTTTAAAATGAGTCCAAACTCGACATATTTAACTTTAATATTAATGGAGATACAATCACTTCCGGTTTGAAACGTCAATGTCAATTTTGACATATTTGTCATCTTCATTAAAAAACCTTTAAAATGAGTCCAAACATAATGCATTTATCTCAAAAAACAAAAAAGTTAGAATAAAAAATATTTAAACCCGAAGTTAGCAACAATCAAGATACCAATTTCATTTTTAAATATTAATACCAACCATAATTTTTTATTTTTTTTTTATTACATTTTTGTTTTTATGACAAATTTTAAAGCATTTTATAAAAATTAAGAATATGTCAAAATGAGATTGACATTTCAAACCGGAAGTTGCTTATATCTCGAATAATATTGAAATTGAACGTATCATGTTTGGACTCATTTTAAAGGATTTTTCACGACAATTACAAATATATCAAAATTGACGTTGACATTTTTAACCGGAAGTTGGCCATAACTTCATTAATATTGAAGATAAATATGTCGTGTTTGTACTCATTTTAAAGGATATTTAATGAAGATTACAAATATGTCAAAATTGAGGTTGTCATTTTTAAACCTAAAGTTAGTTATCATAAATTATAATAGACAAATGGACAACTTCATTGTGTTCTTCCATTATCTATTCTTTATTAAAAAACCTATAAAATAAGTCCAAACATGACGTATTTATCTCAAAAAACCAAAAAGTTCGGTAAAACGTCAAAACATATCGTTTCTATGGAAACGTAATGTCAACTTAGATAAGTAAGGTTATGGAATATTTAATTTCTCAATTATTAAATTAAAAAGAATATAATATTCGTAATTTTCATAAAATAACCTTTAAACTGAGCACAACATGACGCATTTATCTCGAAAAACCGAAAAGTTCGAACTTTCAACTTTTAATTTTGACATATTTGTCAATTTCATAAAAAATCCTTTAAACTGAGTCCAAACTCGACATATTTAACTTTAATATTAATGGAGATACAATCACTTCCGGTTTGAAACGTCAACGTCAATTTTGACATATTTGTAATTGCTGTCAAAAATCCTTTAAACTGAGTCCAAACTCGACATATTTAACTTTAATATTAATGGAGATACAATCACTTCCGGTTTGAAACGTCAACGTCAATTTTGACATATTTGTAATTGCTGTCAAAAATCCTTTAAACTGAGTCCAAACTCGACATATTTAACTTTAATATTAATGGAGATACAATCACTTCCGGTTTGAAACGTCAACGTCAATTTTGACATATTTGTAATTGCTGTCAAAAATCCTTTAAACTGAGTCCAAACTCGACATATTTAACTTTAATATTAATGGAGATACAATCACTTCCGGTTTGAAACGTCAACGTCAATTTTGACATATTTGTAATCTTCATTAAAAAACCTTTAAAATGACTCCAAACATGATGCATTTATCTCAAAAAACAAAAAAGTTAGAATAAAAAACATTAAACCCGAAGTTAGCAACAAGAAGATACCAATTTAATTTTTAAATATTAATACCAACCTTAATTTTTTATTTTTTTTTATTACTTTTTTGTTTTTATGACAAATATTAAGATATGTTATAAAAATTAAGAAAATGTCAAAATGACATTGACATTCTTAACCGGAAGTTGACCATAACTTCATTAATATTGAAGATAAATATGTCGTGGTTGTACTCATTTTAAAGGATTTTTAATGAAGATTACAACTTTGTCAAAATTAAGATTGACTTTTTAAAGCTGAAGTTAGTTGTCATATAATAGACAACTTCATGGTGTTCTGTCATGATGTATTCTTTATTAAAAAACCTTTAAAATGAGTCCGAACATGATGCATTTATCTCAAAAAACAAAAAAGTTAGAATAAGAAACATTTAAACCCGAAGTTAGCAACAATCAAGATACCAATTACATTTTTAAATATTAATACCAACCTTAATTTTTTTTTTTATTACATTTTTGTTTTTATGACAAATTTTAAGACATTTTATAAAAATTAAGAATATGTCAAAATGACATTGACATTTCAAACCGGAAGTTGCTTATATCTCGAATAATATTGGAATTGAACGTATCTTGTTTGGACTCATTTTAAAGGATTTTTCACGACAATTACAAATATGTCATAATTAATGTTGACATTTTTAACCGGAAGTTGGCCATAACTTCATTAATATTGAAGATAAATATGTCGTGTTTGTACTCATTTTAAAGGATTTTTAATGAACATTACAAGTTTGTCAAAATTGAGGTTGACTTTTTAAACCTGAAGTTAGTTATCATATAATAGACAAATGGACAACTTCATGGTATTCTTTCATTATGTATTCTTTATTAAAAAACCTATAAAATGAGTCCAAACATGACGTATTTATCTCAAAAAACCAAAAAGTTCGTTAAAACGTAAAAACATATCGTTTCTATGGAAACGTAATGTCAACTTAGATAAGTAATGTTATGGAATATTTAATTTCTCAATTATTAAATTAAAAAGAATATAATATTCGTAATTTTCATAAAAAAACCTTTAAAATGAGTCCAAACATGATGCATTTATCTCAAAAAACAAAAAAGTTAGAATAAAAAACATTCAACCCGAAGTTAGCAACAATCAAGTTACCAATTTAATTTTTAAATATTAATACCAACCTTAATTTTCTATTTTTTTTATAACATTTTTGTTTTTATGACAAATATTAAGACATTTTATAAAAATTAAGAATATGTCAAAATGACATTGACATTCTTAACCGGAAGTTGACCATAACTTCATTAATATTGAAGATAAACCTGTCGTGTTTGTACTCATTTTAAAAGATTTTTAATAAAGATTACAAATATATCAAAATTGAGGTTGACATTCTTAACCGGAAGTTGACCATAACTTCATTAATATTGAAGATAAATATGTCGTGTTTGTACTCATTTTAAAGGATTTTTAATGAAGATTACTAATATGTCAAAATTGAGGTAGATATTTTTAAACCTGAAGTTAGTTATCATATAATAGACAAAAGGACAACTTCATGGTGTTCCTTCATGATGTATTAATCTTAAAAGAACTGTAAAACGATTCAATAAATATGTCACGACCGATTCCATTAGTAGCAAAAAGTGAATCTACATTTTTATGATCTGAATTAAAGTCACCAGTATAAATTAAAAGCCCCAGGAAAACTTTTAATTCTATTATATCTACATCTCTAAGATGACTGATACTTTTTTTTATCTCTTTTATGATCTCATATAAAATATCTACTGAAAAGAAGAGGTCTTATACAGAAGATGTATACGGAATTTGCAATGTAATAACATAGTTTATGTAAGAAACTTTTGATTATATTGTATTAACCACAAAATTGTTGTATATAGGTTGGATGGTAGACAACCAATTATACATCAATACAAAAAAGTAGAATTTTGCGAATTTTTTTTTAAGTAAAGTTTTTTAGCAATAATATTAATCAAAAAAGGATATTACTGTAATTTTTTAAGAAAGTACCTTTTTTTCCATTCCCCAAATCATCAAAACGAAGTTAAATCATCCAATAACCCTCTCGTATAATCTTCATATGCAAATTTCTCCTCAAAACTTCTTGTACATCTGTAATAAAGAAAAATTTGTTGAAAATAACTTGTTTTCTAAGTAGAAATATTACCATTGATTTGAATTACATTAATTACACTATTAATATGATTTAATACTTTTATAACGTTTTTCTGATTGACAGTTCAATTAAAATGAACATAACCTTACTTTTTATTTGGTGCAAATCGTTATAGGGTTTTTTTTTAGTTTATACATCATTATAAAACGATAAGAAAAAGTGATATTGTGAAGTAATTAGAACGAAAGCACCAAATATAATTAAATTTAAACTAAATTGATAAAAACTCAGTAATACAGCCATAGTTATTTTAGCGGTTCATGTTGGCAATAATTTTGTTTTGATTTAATTTGAAATTTAAATCATTACTATTATTATCAACAAAAAGGGTATTTCAAGGGTAAATAAATAATGTTCTCCCCACAAAAAATTAATAAAACATTGAAGATTTACCTCGTAAATAACTATTATAATACGAAGATGTTGAGACGCTATTTTGACAGTCTATAAAAATACATAACCTCACTTATTTAATAGAGTTATAATAATTTATTTATTTATTTCAGGGTGCTTTATTAGGTTCTGCTTGTTCAGTTATCGGAATAGGATCAGATTTAGCCGGCTCAATAAGAGTGCCATCGTTATTTAACGGTATCTTTGGACATAAACCGACAGCAAGTAATCGATTTTTCATCAAAAATAATTTCAAATACACTAAAAATCTGTTTATTTTAGATTTAGTTCCTAACCGAGATCATTATCCGATTATTCACGACGAAGATTTTTATGAATATTTAGTTTTGGGACCGATGTGCAGATATTCGGAAGATTTAAGGTTGGTTTTAAACGTGATGACGAATCATCCCATTAATTTAAACGAAAAGGTAATAAAAGGTATAATTCAAAAATCATCATGTTGCTTAAAAATCGACCAAAAAAGTGCGGAAAAGTGTAAAACTACGACTAAAATGTCTATAAATGCCATCCATAAACTAAAGATAACTTAAAATCTATACCTGATGCCCTACCCCCCTCTTAATTTATTGGTTCCTGAATGCTAAAAGACTAATTATTGCTATCAGAAGATTAAATACTGCTAGTAAAAGACTAAAAACTGCTTGGATAGAGGAAATACTATTTCAAAAAGTTACCTACTGCTTCTAAAATGTTAGATGCTGCAGATAAAACAACAACTTACTTGGAAAGGACTAGATACTGTTTTCAAAATAATACCTATTGCTTCCAGAACACTAAACACTACTGTTAAAGGTTTTGAGCTACTTGGACAGGCGGAATACTGCTTCCAAGACTACTTATTGCTTTCAAAGACTTTAATAAGTGTTTGGAAAAGAGATATGCTTTCCAAAACGCTATCTACAGCTTTCAGAATGTTATACACTGCTATAAAAGACTAATAACTACTTGGAAAGAAGAGATATGCTCTCCAAAAAAGGCTCTCCAAACAACTACAAACTGATTGGAAAGATGAGGATACTGCTTTCATAAGACTACCTACTGCTTTCAGAGCGTTATATACTACTAGTAAAGATTACGAGCTGCTTGGAGAAGAGTAAATACTGCTGGAAGAATCAATTATCTGCTTGGAAAGACAAGATACTATTTCCAAAAGATTATTAACTACTTTCAGAACGCTGAATATTCTTGGAAAGACTACTAATTGCTTGGAGAAAGCTAGATATTGTTGGCAAAGACAATTTTAATGCTTTCAGAAGACTATATACTGCTGCCAAAACACTACTACTATCCGTGCAAAAAGTCAAGGCCCCTCACTTTAGAGATCGATATCTTCGCAACCGCTCCATAAAAAAAATTGCAACAAAGTTTGTTGTAATCACTGAACATTTCTACGTAACTTATGTTAATCTGAAAATTTTCGGATCCACGGTTTTCTTGTTACCGCGAGTTAAATGAAAAATGTACCCGATTTTTTACGGAATTGGCAACTTTATCAACTTTGCGATTTTTTTTCTCGAAAACTATCGTACGAAAAAATTTTAATTTTGAACAGGTGGTAGTCTGATGTGTTCTCAATGAGTGGCATATTTTATTTTTTCGATATTTCATACAGTTTCGCGGAAAATCGCGGTTTAGTAAGACGCCGTTATGTCGAAAACGGTTGGGTGGATTTCCTCGCGGATTTGACCAAAATATGTCAAATAATGTTGGTTGTCGGATTCCGTTATCAGTTTTTCAAAATTAAGGCTCCCTATTTTTTTAAGAGCGATTTAATGGAATTACAAATTAAAAAGAAACAGAAATAAGCTCTGCGGGGTGACGAGGGTTCCGGCCAATCGGAACAGATGGTGCGTCCCAGACAGGACGTCGCGCCTTATTTCTTTATGTAGGCAAGATAAAGGCGCGACGTACTGTCTGGGACGCACCATCTGTTCCGATTGGACGGAACCTTCCTCTCCCCGCATAGCTGATTTCTGTTTCTCTTTAATTTGTAATTCCATTAAATCGCTCTTAAAAAATTAGGGAGCCTTATTTTTGAAAAACTGATAACGGAATCCGAAAATCCGCGTTATTTGACATATTTTGGTAAAAACCGCGTTGAAATTCGCCAGGTCGTTTTCGAAATAACCGCATCCTACTAAACCGCGATTTTCCGCGAAACTATATGGAATATCGAAAAAATAAAATATGCCCCACATTAAGAACACATCGGTTTACCACCAGTTCAAATTTGAAATTTTTTCGTCAAATAGTTTTGAAGAGAAAAAATCGCAAAGTAGACAAAGTTGCTGGCACTCTCAAAAATCGGGTACTTTTTTCACTTAACTCGTGATAAAAGTAAAACCGCGTTCCCGAAACTTTCCAAATTAACATGTGATACGCAGAAATGTTCACTGATTACAATAAACTTTACAGCAATTTTTTCCATCGAGCGGTTACGAAGATATCGATCTCTAAAGTGAGGGGCCTTGACTTTTTGCACGGATAGTAAGTGCTTGGAGAATACAATGCTACTGGCTGAAAACCATTTACTGAAACTATTCTTCTGTTGAGTGATATCTTTCTGTGTCCCTTCCATTACAGATTTTAAAATCAACACTCGATTCTTTAGTACCCAGATGCGACATAGACATATCTATGACGGATATGTCTATTAAAAAATTAGACAATTATGTTACAGAAGACAGTTCAGAAGATTTTATTTTATTGGAAACAATTTCGCCTATTATTAAATTGCAAAAAGATTTGGAAAAAATGATTGAGCAAAATGCAAAAAGGGAAATTAAAGAAATATCGCTTGAATTTAAAAAACAAGCAGGAATTTTAAATAGTAAAATTATTAAAAATTGGCTGGTAAATCATAGGGAAAGGGGCACAAACTAACGAAAGAGTTTGGAACTCAGATCAGGTCAGAAGGATTATTTTATTTGGAAGAGGGGATTGTAAATTTTGAAGAATGGAAAATTATTGAGAAATTAAAATGGGCTAAAGAATCATACAAAAATATAGAAATTAGAAAAGGGAACCCATTAAATGTGAAAAATGGAGCAGTAATGATAGTGGCTGTAGATCCAACTAATAAAATCAATGGAAAAAGGATTACAAAAAAAAATTTAAAATGAGATTTCTTCCGGAGTTGGATGAAATAAAAAAGGATTTGGGAGTAATTGAAAAAGATTTAAGATCAAAATTAAGGGACAAATGGATAAAAAAGTACAAAAATTATTAATGACATGGAAAAAGATCGTTTTGAAAGTATTAAAACATTGAAACAAAAGATGACAAATTTATTGTTATGCATAAAATTAAAAATATGGACACAGAAAAATTAGCCAAAATGATGGCGTGTGTTTTTCATGCACTGAAGAAATTTGGGAGCTGGTGAACATTATCTAAAAATAGCATTAACAATTAAACTGGACAAAAAATGTGCTGAGATTTTACTTGAAAATAAAAAATTAAGAATTGGTTTTACAATTTGTGAATTAGAAAAACGAATAGATATGCAGAAATGCTATAAATGCTGGGGATATTGTCATTTAATTAAAAATTGTACTGGAGCAGATAGAAGAGAGTTATGTTATAAATGTGGCAAAAAGGGACATGAGGCAGATAAATAAAGAAATCAACAATTCTGTCTAATTTGTAAACAAGAAGGACATAAAGCTGGGACTGGGAGATGTAATGAAATTAAGACAATATTAAATAAACTAGGGAAGGTGAACAGATAGCAGATGCGGATGAAAGGAGAGCTATGGAAAATGATTTGAATCCAACACAAGTAATAGCACAATGAATGTTTTACAAGTAAATGTTAATAGAGGGGTTGAAGCAACGAACTTAATAGATAAGTGTATTCAAGAAATGGAGATTGATATTGTTATTGTATTAGAACCTAATAAAAAAAAAGTTGAAGGGACTTGATGGTTCATGGACAAAGATTGTGATGTGGCAATAAAATTAATTAATAGTGAAATAAAAGTCTATAAATGGGAAGTAGGGCCTGGGTTTGTAGCGATAAAGACTAACATAGGTTTATGGATTGCATGTTATTTGACACCTAACGAAACATTAGTAGAATATGAGGAAAAATTACAGAAAATTGCTGTGATAGTACATGGAAGTCATTTCTATTCCCAATTAACATTTAGAAAACGAAATTTTACAATTAATCTTGTAACTTTGACGTATGAATGTCAAATTTAATTTTTTACTTGTCATTTGACGTTTTAAATGTCAACTTGACGTTTAAATTATTTAATTACCTAAAATTAATTTTGACGTTTTATTTTTCTACATTAATATTAATTCGGAAGATTTAAGGTTGGTTTTAAACGTGATGACGAATCATCCCATTAATTTAAACGAAAAGGTAATAAAAGGTATAATTCAAAAATCATCATGTCGCTTAAAAATCGACCAAAAAATGTGCGGAAAAGTGTAAAACTTACCGAATAATCACTTTAAAACGACTCACAATGACTAAAATGTCTATAAATCCCATCCATAAACTAAAGATAAGTTAAAATCTATACTAAATCTATACAAAAGACTAATTTTTGCTATCAGAAGATTAAATACTGCTAGTAAAAGACTAAAAACTGCTTGGAAGGAGGAAATACTATTTTAAAAAGTTACCTACTGCTTCTAAAATGCTAGATACTGCAGAAAAAACAACAACTTACTTGGAAAAGACTAGATACTGTTTTCAAAATAATACCTATTGCTTCCAGAATGCTAAACACTGCTGTTAAAGGTTTTGATCTACTTGGACAGGCGGAATACTGCTTCCAAGACTACTTATTGCTTTCAAAGACTTTAATAATTGTTTGGAAAAGAGATATGCTTTCCAAAAAGCTACCTACTGAATCCAGAATGTTAGATACAGTTGGAAAAGACTAATAACTACTTTGAAAGAAGAGATATGTTCTCTAAAAAAAGGTACCTACTGCTTCCAAAATGCTAGATACTGGTGGAAAAGATTACAATCTGCTTGGAGAATTCTAAATACTGCTGGGAGAAACAATTATCTGCTTGAAAAGACAAGATACTGTTTCCAAAAGACTATTAACTACTTTCAGAATGTTAAATATTGTTGGAAAGACTACTAATTGCTTGGAGAAAGCTAGATATTGTTGGCAAACACTATTTAATGCTTTCAAAATACTATACACTGCTGCCACAACACTACTAAGTGCTTGGAGATTACAATGCTACTGTATTAACTACAAAATTGTTGTATATAGGTTGGATGGTAGACAACCAATTATCCATAAATAGAAAGAAAGTAGAATTTTTGAGGTTATGTTTTTTTTCAGTGAAGTTTTTTAGTAATAATATTAATCAAAAAAGGATATTACTGTAATTTTTTAAAAATAGAAGCAGTGGATGTTCTTACTCCTACCAAGTTAATTGCAGTAGCAACAACAGCCTGTGATAAAATTTATGGAAAAACAAAAATGAAATGCTACAAAGGAAGACAATTGTAATGATAGATAGATAAGGTTGTAGAAGCGAGGGTTAAAGCTAATAGAAACAGACGTATACTTACAAGAGTTAATTCACAGAATGGAAATTAAAGGGAAAAGGAAGTAGCAAAAACGGAATATGAAAGTGTGCGCAGACCATACAAAAATGAAATTAGAAGAGCAAAAAAGGATGCTTGGAGGAAACTCTGTAATGAACTGGAAGAAGATATATGGGGAGATGCCTACAAAATGGTTTTTATAAGAACAAAAAATATACTGAGAGATACGCTCAATGGCGATGAATTGCAGAATGTTGTAAAAGAATTTTTCCCAGTGGGAAATAAGGTTGTGAGAGCAGACAAAGGTGGAATGAGAGCATTAGAAAGGTGACGGAAGAGAAATAATTAGAACTAGTTAAACAGCTTAAGAATGAAAAGGCTCCTGGTCGGGATCAAATTACGCCAAAAATTGTCAAAGATACCTTATATGTAGTTTCAAAGAAAGGCACTGAAATGTATACGTTCCTGTTGGAGCAGGGAATTTTTCCTGATATATGGAAAACATGAAAGTTGGTATTAATTGAAAAACCAAAAAAAATAATGGAAAAACAGCTTACAGACCCCTATATTTATTAGACTGCTTTGGAAAATTATATGAAGATATCCTGAAAGAAAGGAGAAACATTCGGGATAAGCCTAATACTTTCTAGTTCTAGGTCTAGTGTTAGTTCTAGTTTTACATTAACACTATCACTAGAACTAACACAAGACCTAGAACTAGAATCATTCGGGTTTAGCCGTCTTGAAAGACGTGCGGCTAAATCCGAATGTTTCTAGTTCTAGGTCTAGTGTTAGTTCTAGTTTTGTACTAGAATTAACACAAGACCTAGAACTAGAATCATTCGGGTTTAGCCGTCTTGAAAGACGTGCGGCTAGGGCTTCTAGGTCTTGTGTTAGTTCTAGTTTTACACTAACACTATCACTAGAACTAACACAAGACCTAGAACTAGAATCATTCGGGTTTAGCCGTCTTGAAAGACGTGCGGCTAGGGCTTCTAGGTCTTGTGTTAGTTCTAGTTTTACACTAACACTATCACTAGAACTAACACAAGACCTAGAACTAGAATCATTCGGGTTTAGCCGTCTTGAAAGACGTGCGGCTAAATCCGAATGTTTCTAGTTCTAGGTCTAGTATTAGTTCTAGTTTTGTACTAGAACTAACACAAGACCTAGAACTAGAATCATTCGGGTTTAGCCGTCTTGAAAGACGTGCGGCTAAACCCGAATGATTCTAGTTCTAGGTCTAATGTTAGTTCTAGTAATAATGTAAATAAACTTTAATGTGATTTTTCGTTATGTTCTAACTTTTCCGCACTTTCTTTTTATTTGTCAAGTGTTTTTTTAATCCACATGATGATTCTTAAATTTTTCCTAATAAAATTAATGTTGTAAAAATTCGATGGTAATTTTATATATTTTATTTAGGTTGATATGAAAAAAGTTACGGTTTATCATACAGAAGACACCGGAAATTTATTTTTTGTAAATAACGTTAATCAAGATGTTCGAGATGCCATAAAAAAATGCGCGGATCATTTGAAACATCATTGTAAAGCGAAACTTAACAATTCCAAGATAATCGATTTAGAGAAATGTTTCGATATGGGTTTATCGTTGTTTTTCGGGGTGAAAAATAAACCCGATTTGCTTTTAGACCAAGTGAATCCACCGGTAGGTTTTCATTTTAATTCGTTGAGGTTAATTTAATTCGTTTTGTTTTTTTAGAAAAGGTATAACATCGTTTCTGAGTTTATTAAGCTACAATTTAAGAGATCAACTTTAAATTATAACAGTTTGGCTTACGACTTTTTAACAAATACGCATTCTTTCTTGACGGTTAAAGACAACGATTATTACCGTGATATGTTGGATCATCTAAAAACGAATTTAATGGTACTAAATTAATTAAATTGAGAATGATTTAATCATTTTTTTTTTAAATTTTAGAATACTTTGGGTCAATATGGAGTAATTTTATTCCCGACAATGCCTGGGCCAACTTTCCAACATGGTTATTCACCGTTAAAGTGTGCCGGAGTTGTTTATTCAATGATTTTTAATATTCTTGGGTTTCCAGCAACTCACGTTCCTTTAGGTTTAAATAAACAAGGTTTACCGATTGGAGTACAAGTAATTAATTCTTTTATTCCTAATACAGTGTGTTAATTAATTATCGTACCCGACGTCATCATTGCAATTATGCAACCAATATCGCAAATCGCGTATTGCAATACCAATACTGTGATATTGGTTGCAGTGGTGGAATGAATATCCGGCATCGAGATTACATATAATTTACTGGAGTGCGTGCTTAGGATATTCCCCCACCCTATAACGGCAAGAAATACAAATAGTACTAACTAATGGATATAATTCAGTATGCATTTATTCAATATTTACTAAGTAATTCATATAATGTTATTCAATAATGATGAAAAATACCAAATATAATAAATGTTACGTCCGGCTCGTTTTCTAGTTCAAAACACGCACTCCAGTAAATATAGTATATCTCGATACTATCCGGCTATTTTTTAAAATCCGGCCGGATACCGGATAGTTACCAAATATCCGGCTTTGGCCCAATATTAAAAACCTATTACTTAGTATTCCACTATTCACAGGAATTAGTATCTAACATATAAATTCTCGTACTAACAGAATTGTCGCTGTTATCACTTTGGATTATTAATTAAAGTATCCTCTTTTTAATTCAACAAGCCGTTTTGAAAAATCGCTTTTAGATTTTGAGAAATAAATTTTTAAAATAATCGACAATTAGTGCCGACGCTAGCAAATGAAGCGCCAGGGTGGAATGCTGGAAGCCATTTTGGGCGGAATGCGAAAACATACATAACGTTGGCAGAAGACTAGATACTGCTTCTAAAAAACTAAATACTGCTTTCTGAAGACTAGATACTGCCGACAGGTCTAAATAAAGCATCTGGAACATTAAATACTGCTTTCTAAAGACTAAAATTGCTTTGTGGAGACTAAATACTGCTTTCTGAAGACTATATACTGCTAACGGGTCTAAATACTGCAAAAGAAAGATAAAATATTTTGGAGAAAACATACATAACGTTGGCAGAAGACTAAATACTGCATTCTAAAGACTAAAATTGCTTTGTGGAGACTAAATACTGCTTTCTGAAGACTAGCTACTGCTGACAGGTCTAAATACACTCCCCGGTAGCGCCGTCTCTGTCGACAATGATTTCGAATTTTGCAATTTACGCCGATTTAGTTAATAAGAGTGTTCTCTTTCCAATAAACCAACACGTTTTGAAAAACAACTTTTAATTTTTGAGAAAACAATATTTGAAGTTTTGATAAAATTTTCGATATTTTAATTTTCATCGATAATTTTTAAAATTCGCTATAAAATTCATTTCTTGAAGGATACTTGTGGACATATCACCAATTATTAATTAAAGTATTCTCTTTTTAATGCAAAAAGGCGTTTTGAAATAATTATTTACGATACAAATGCGGAAAGGCTAGCTTTTCACATGAGCACGCTAGTTTGCATCTGCATTTGCGTGCGAATGCTGGAACAATCCTTTACACATGAGTATTGTACAATATTTTGTACAATTGTTGTAACGAATAAAACGTCCCTGTGTGACGATATGAGTTGCATGTGGGGTTTTTGACAGGAAAAAATCAACCGAAATTCCAAACGTCAATATTGACTTTATTGATTGCAAATTGATTTTTATAGACTTTTTTAAATATTTTAAAACTGTGTTATCTGCACACGAATGGATAAAACGTTCTTATTAACCTTTTCTTATAAACATGCACATTTGGTCATTAAATATTCCTGTTAGTTGCGGTAACAAAAAAGCATTTGTGCGGGAAAACGCGTTTCCCGCACGTCCTCTCTGTGCGGGAAATAGGTATCTAGATGCTATGAGTACAAAAAATCACTTTTAGTTCTTGAGAAATACATTTTTGAAATAATCTACAATTTTTTCGAATTTTGCAATTTTCGCCGATTAAGTTTTAAAAATTCGTATAAAATCCATTTTTTGGAATATAAGTATGAAAATTTCCCAAAGTATTAATAAGAGTGTCCTCTTTCCAATGAACCAACCCGTTTTGAAAAATAACTTTTAGTTTTTGAGAAAGCAATATTTGAAGTTTTGATAAAATTTTCAATGTTGCAATTTTCATCGATAACTTTCAAAATTCGCTATAAAATTAATTTCTTGAAGGATCCTTGTGGAAATATCACCAATTATTAATTAAAGTATGCTCTTTTTAATGCAAAAACCCGTTCTGAAAAATCACTTAGTTTTTGAGAAATGATAGACAATTTTTTCGAATTTTGCAATTTTCGCCGATTAAGTTTTAAAAATTCGCATAAAATCGACCTCTTAGAATATGAGTATGAAAATTTCCCAAAGTGTTAATAAAAGTGTCCTCTTTCCAATGAACCAACCCGTTTTGAAAAATCTCTTTTAGTTTTTGAGAAAACAATATTTAAAGTTTTGATAAAATTAAATGTTGCAATTCATCGATAATTTTCAAAATTTTGTAATTAAATCATAATTGGTTGCATACTTGCAATAATGACGTCGGGTCCAATAATTAATTAACACAGTGTACATCTTAGTTATTATTATTTAATTATTCTTTTAGGTTATTGCATCCCCACATCGAGATGCAGTGTGTTTATCGGTTGCTGAAGAATTAGAAGTGCGATTTGGAGGCTGGGTCGCACCATTTTGACCTTTAATCAAATTTGCTTTAGGAAGTAGTCGATGTGTATATTAAATATAAATTTGTTGTGTATTTCATTTTTGAAAAGTTGCATTTAAGTTTCAAGGTGATAATTTATTTAGATATCTCTTTATGTTTGTAAATATAGAAATAAAATAAAATTTAAGCTATAATGAATTAAAATTAAAATTTATTTATTTAAGTGCAAAAACGTGTCGATTACAACAATAAAAATGCGTAAAGAGTTGATAAAAAGCCTCGTATAAGTTAACAAACAACAGTATGTGATTAAACGCTGAAGCGGTTGGTTCGAAGTGTGATAACAATAAATAGTTCGTATTTGTTTATGAGAGAGGTGTTACACATAAAATTTAAATTTAATCACCAACGAATAAAGAAAGTAAGATTTTTTTAATAACAAATTCATTTATAACTTTGAAGTACAACGTCAGCTTTTTATTGGTAATAATTTACGTCTCTAAATTGTTATTTAAAATTTATAACTCATAATTAATAAGATTCAACGTTTAAAAATTCATAACGAAACCGTATAATTACAATCGATTTTTAATCTAAACGATTTTTGTTTTCCCAAACTACAACAATAACGATTAAAAAAAGAAATGTGTGCGGCTCGAATATAAATACATTCATTAAACGATTTGAATCACTTAATTCAATGTCAAGCGTGTCAAAATTATTTAATTTATTGCTACCGCAATTTCAATTCGATTTTTATACCCGATCGATTGCAATTCAATAATAATGACTCGCCGCAATGTTTCCTGTAAACAACTATTTTTAAATGGTTAAAAATGTTTCCGATAAACGAAGGAAAGTTTAAAAACAAAAAAAAAAGACCTTAAACTTTAATAAAATGCCTCACTAATTTAAAACTTATTTTATTATAGATGTAAACATCTAATGAATGTTTATTTAGAACGTTAATTTTTCACACATATAGATGTAATATTTTATTAGGAATTTTAAAAAATTATCAAGGCAAACGTGAACGTTTTACTGTAAATGATGATGAGACCTTAATAAATAAGCGAGTGAATAAGAGTTATATATTATTAATAAAAATAAGTAAATAAAAAATTATGTTTTTTAATTTAACACAAATTTTATACAAAAATTTATTTGGTATGTGTTAGATAAAGTATAAGTGATTATACTAATTTTTTTTTCAATTATTTCAAAAATTTATTTCTCAAAAACTAAAAGCGATTTTTCAAAACGGCTTGCTGCATTAAAAAGAGGATACTTTAATTAATAATCGAAAGTGATATCAGCGACAGTTCTGTTAGTAAGAGATTTTATACAGGGTGATTTATAACATACGGAGCAGATTAAAAGAGCAAGTACTAGGGGCCAAACTGAAGATATTTTCTTAATAATGTTTTGACTACAACGTAATAATCACAAAGATATAGAACATTAAAGTTGAATTAATTGCCCAGCATTTCTTACGATATACGGTATTACACTACGTTTAAATTCAAACTGCGAATATTTTGGGGTTACTTAAGCAATGCCTGATTAGCACCAATAAAATCTTTGTAATATGGCAGTTACGGCTATTTAAATACGTTACGTTACGGATATTTAAAATTTGTTAAATCACTCAAAAACTGGTGTTTGTTTTTTGAGAACCGCTGATACCATGTTTTTATTGCTGTCAATCCAGTTGACTTGGTTGCCTAGCAACGGACATGTCATTTAATTTTAATAATCAATGTACTAATCAAAAAATACAATGGTAATGTACAGTAACGAAGAATACGTAGATATGCTTATTATTTATGGAGCTGCTAGAGAAAACGCTGCACACGCAAGACGTCTGTATTTAGAACGATATCCAAATCGACAGATCCCTTCTGAAAACACTTTTCTTCGGTTAATCCAGCGGGGAAGAGAGACAGGAAATTTGCAACCTAAGAAAGGTCTTGGTGGCGTTTTGTAATTTTGCATTTAAAACATTATTATTATCCGTTTCATAAATTAACATCTATTATTTCTTTTCATAAATTATGTATTAAAACTAAACAATTAAATTGTCTACTTTGACAGCTCCTTCAAAAATGAGGATGCCGTTGACAAGTATTTTAATTGTTCTTTAGTGAATATCAGCGGTTCTCAAAAGTTGACGCTAATTTATTTAAAAAATTAACATGCGATATCTATGTAACTATTAAGATTTTAACAAAACATTATTAAGAAAATCTCTTCAGTTTGACCTCAAGTATCTACCCATTTAGTCCCCTCCATATGTTATAAATCACCCTGTATATCATATTGGGATTGTTACAATGAGATTGCTAAAGACATATATATCAGGTTTATAAATAAAGTTAGCCGGATTTTAACAAATGGCCGGATAGTTGTCGGATATCCGTTCCACCACTAATCATTATAAACTCATATTTAACGTTTAATTAATTTATTTCAATTAAAAGTACTACTTTGTATGAAAATTTCTTGGTATATGATCAGATAAAGTACCACTTCTAGTTATGCGATTTAAGTAAAATTTTATATCGGAGTGTTTATCATGATTATAAACACTTGTGTGAGATTTGATTAATTTATTTCAATTAAAAGTGCCACTTTGTATGAAACTTACATGATATATGATCAGATAAAGTACCACTTCCGGTTACGCGATTTAATTAGAATTTGATATTTGAGTGTTTATAATGTTTATAAACCCTTATATGATATTTCATTAGTTTATTGTAATTAAAAATGTCACTTTGTATGAAAATTACTTGGTATATGATCAGATAAAGTATCACTTCCGGTTATGCGATTTAAGTAAAATTTTATATTGGAGTGTTTATCAGGATTATAAACACTTGTGTGAGATTTGATTAATTTATCTCTATTAAAAATGTCACTTTGTCATACAAAGTTACTTGATATATGATCAGATAAAGTACCACTTCCGGTTAAGTGATTTGATCGAAATTTGATATTTAAATGTTTATAATGATTATAAGCCCTTATACAACATTTCATTAATTTATCGCATGATTATAAACACTTGCGTGAGATTTGATTAATTTATCTCAATTAAAAACGCCCACTTTGTATGAAAATTACTTGATATATGATCAGATAAAGTACCACTTCCGGTTAAGTGATTTGATCGAAATTTGATGTTTATAATGATTACAACCCTTATATGACATTTCCTTAATTTATCGCAATTAAAAATGTCACTTTGTATGAAAATTACTTGGTATATGATCAGATAAAATATCACTTCCGGTTAAGGCATTTAATTGCAATTCAATAATAAAGTGTTGTTTATAATTTTTGTATATCTGTTACAACATATTAGTTGTTTATTTTTGTGCAGGTTTATACGAAAAAGAAGATTTAACGCTAAAAAGTAAAAAAAAAATAAGAATGTCATTTTGACATAGCAAGTGACATTTTATAGTTAACGCCGCTATTGCCCGCTAGATGGGATTAATTAATCAAATCCACAATTGCACTGCGTTATATATCACTTGACTAATTGAAAGCGACATTTTATCGTTTTTAGACATTTTTTGAGTTTAAACATGACGCATTTTTCTTAAAAAACCAAAAAGTTCGATCTTTCAACTTTTAATTTTGACATATTTGTCAACTTCATAAAAAATCCTTTAAAATGAGTCCAAACTCGACATATTTAAGTTTAATATTAATGTAGATTCGATCACTTCCGGTTTGAAACGTCAACGCCAATTTTGACATATTTGTCATCTTCATTAAAAAACCTTTAAAATGAGTCCAAAGATGACGCACTTATCTCAAAAAACAAAAAAGTTAGAATAAAAAACATTAAACCCGAAGTTAGCAACAATGAAGATAGCAATTTAATTTTTAAATATTAATACCAACCTTAATTTTTGATTTTTTTTATTATATTTTTGTTTTTGTGACAAATATTAA